TTTTTTAATTTTATTATACTAATTTATTTAATTATTGTATATATAAGCAATTTTATACATCAAAATTCATATAAAATTAAAATTTTAAGTTTTTTTGTCAATATTTTTAAATAAATAGCTTTGGCCCGATGCATGGCCTTATCTGGCCCAAGGCGGGCCAGCCTGGCCCGCAGCATGGCCCGGGCCTGGGCCGTGGGCTGTGTCGGGCCAACCCCCAACTTATCCCTGGGGGGGGGGGCACGACCCGTTTTACACCTCTAGATGAAGAGGGATTCTCATCAGTGGCAAGGTGGAGGGGGGAGTTGGAAATTGAAGCCAAAAAATTCAGATTCGAAGGAAAAAATGATGGCAAGTGTTTCAGTGAAAGTCAGAGAAGAGAAAAGAACCACCATCTTCATTGTAGTGGAAGCGATTGGATGGTTGAAATGTTTCTTGGATGGGGTGTTCCGTTCCATCCATAAACAGCTGAGTGGGTTTGTTTAGAAAGAAATTTGAAGTTGAGATGAGGACAAATGTGAAAGGGTGGTTTATAATAGAATCGTTTGGTGTAAAGAGAAAGCAGATGATATGAATTCCGGAGGACAGGGAGAGATCAGGGTGGAAACAATTTGCAGAAAGGCTGCAAGATTTCTTGGGGGGACCTTGCAGGAAGTTCTTATTGCATGTAATACTCATGATCTCCATGTTGTGAGACTTTGAAATGTCAGAATTAAACCTGAAGATGTCCCTCGGGTTTTCAACTTGCTCGCAAATGGTCTCTAGTTTAAGGTAGAAGACGATGGAATCTTGGAGGTTTAGGATAGGTAATTAATTGAAAATTATTTGAAAATAGAGATGAAGGGGTGTGTCATAGAACATTTCTGGAGGTTGCTTTAATTGTAGTCATGTCACATGAAAAGTGGGGACAACAGGAAATGAAGATGCAAGAGGGGCGAATTTAGTCTAAATCGGATGGTTAGAGAAGAAGACCAGTGGCTTTGCCTGGCTAGGAGGGTGGTCGGCTAGGAAAGAGTGGGTCATGTGTCCTTTGTATGTGAGAACATGTGTGCCTATTGGGGATGCTAATTTACATCTATCGTCATCCTAATGTGGCCTCTAGTGAAAGAAGACTTCAAAGAGTCCTCTTTACAATGGTGTCCATAAGGAGGTAGTCAAGAACCTTCAAGGTTGTCTGTCTCATAGGAACTCCAGGAGGGGCTAAGTGATAGAACCCTGGGACTAATAAAAAAGTATTAAGAGGTGGGAGGGCTCGTTGAACAAATCCTTAATGGAAGGGGTAGTAATACCCAACCAAACGTATAGAATAAAACATCAGAGCCCCTAGATATTGCTGCTATTCCCGTTTGGGTGGGGATTCTGCTTTGAAGCATAGTTGTCAAGGTGTTACTTAGGTGCCTAGGTGCCCTTGGCTGGGCGCCTCACCCAAATACCTTGACTTTTAGCAATTAGGTGCCTTCTAGGCGACTAGCCGCCTGCCTAGGTGTTAATACATTTTATTATATGCTATATCTAAGTAATGTATGTGTTAATACATTGCTGTATCTAAGTAATGTATGTGTTAATACATTTTATTATATGCTATATATATATCAATTATATTTTGTTTTAATGTTTTACTATTGGAATTTAAAAGATCAAAGGGTTTTGATGAGAGAAAAAGAAAGAAACGAAAAAGAAAGAAAGAGGAAAGAAATAATAGAATTGTAAAGAGATTCTGTTTTCTTCTATTCTCTCTCTCTCTATTAAATAAAACAGAAACTCCATCCTTGTTCTTTCTATTTTATTTTCCATCTTGATTATTTATCATATAAAGTTAACCTTCTTTAGCTGCTAATTGATATGAAATTTCTCTATGCTATATACTTATTATAGTAGTATAATTTTTGAAATTATGAAATTAATTTATGTAAAAGATTTTTATCTTTTAGATGTGATCGTTTGCCACATTTTTAGACGAAATTTAGTGTGATCATTTTTTAGAGGAAACTTAATAAAGAGAATTGCTATTTTTCAATTAACATACATGCTGAATGGTATATAAAATTAGGAACTATCCAAAAGCTAGTTTTTTATATTATAAAATTTTTATTGCCTAGGTGACTAGGTGACTAGGTGCTCTAGTGTTGGCCAGAATCGCCTAGACGCCTTGAAAACTATGCTTTGAAAGATCAATTTCTTTCTCTGTTTTCCCTTTCATGGTAGAAAGATAAACCTATTTCCACTGTTCTTGTTTCTTTTAGTTCAAACACTGGCTTTGATTGGGTTTTGGGATTAAGAAGGAAATTAAGGGACTTGTAACTAAAAGGTGTATTAGATTTCCTCTACATTCTTGATGGGGTCTTCCTAGATCCTAGCAAACTTGATAGTCGAATCTGGATTCATACCCCCAGTGGAACCTTCTCGTGCTCCCTTTTTCATGTTCTTAATTCATCCCTCTGATAATTTGGGGCAAGTTTTCCCTGAAAAGAATTTATATTTGTAATTTGCTCTAAAGAAAAGGCCTAATTGGTGCTTATCCCCTCGTTGGTGTGCCCTTGTAAATCCAATGGGGAGTCATGCTATCACTTATTAATCTCCTGCTTCTTTATTACTTCCATTTGTGAATGGTTTTTATCCTTATTTGGATGTAGGTGGAATCCCCCACTTTGCCTTTACATTTTTTAGTTGGTCAAAGTGGAGGAGAAGACTGTTTTGGAGGTGTGTAAGAGCTGCCTTGAGTTGGACCAATTGGGAGGAAAGGAACTCAAGGGTTGCGTATTCTTTGATAAGGAAAGAAGTAGAGAGGGTATTATTGAGATTATCATTGTAAGGGTAGTGCAGTTGGTTAAACCAGTGGAGTTGTTTGCTGATTTTAGAGCGGATGATATTATGAGAAATTGGAAGGCAGTGATTGGTTCAAATCGAATTGAGACTGTTACTAGTCCTGTTTGGTCCCCTCCACCCCAGGGTTTCACTAAATTAAAATTTTGATGGGAGTAGCATAGGCAATCCATGTTCTTCAGGCATTCTATTTTCTGTGATATATTATCTTGCCAGCACAAGGTGCATTGAGGGGTTTGGTAAATTGATTGAGCAATCCTTTTCTGGAGATCACGCCTTTACTATGAGGGGTGAGATTAGATAATCCTGATAATCTTATAAATTTTATTCTTTTGCATGGTTTTTAGGGAAAAGAACGACTGAAAATCTCTATTGGATAGCTTAGTCATTCAATTAGAGTTTTCTTTCTAATGTTTGCACACCTCTTTTAAGTAGTACCTAATATTACATCTTCAGTATAAATGCTGGTTTTTGCTTTTATTATGATGTGTATGGTATGTATCTAATCAAATATGTCATATTGAATTTTTGGATTTTAGGCAGATATAGGTCTTGCAATGGGCATTCAAGGAACAGAAGTTGCAAAAGAGAACTCGGACATCATTATCTTGGATGACAATTTTGCTTCTGTTGTAAAGGTTAGTGTAAAGATTTTTGACTTTCCAATTACACCCAACAGAAGTTGCAGAAGAGAGCTTTTCTATCATGATACTGGTTCATTGAGCTATTTATAGCTGTTACAAATCAGACCTTAGGATCCCCACTGAAGTTATGTAAAATGAAAGACTTCTTTAAAAATACAATTATACATAAAAATTTAAAAAAGAATAATCCTTATCTGATCAGTTGAACCTGCTTTGTATTATTCATGCTGCAAGTAACGAAAAGGGTTAAGGACCATTAGCCAATGATGGTCCTGGCTATTTGGGGTCTTGGGTAGGGTAGACTTGATATTGACCTTCCTTTTGGTACATTTTGCACAAAATGGTCTCTCTCAGACTGGAATCTACACTCTCAAACTTTTAATCCTGATTTCAATATTTTGACAAATAATGACCCTTTGAGCAAATACATCAAATGTTGACAATAAAAAGGGGTTTTGGAATAGTGCTTCCTTGAAATGGGTCTACAGCCATGGTTTATTGACCGGGATGTGGGATATAAAATGAGTTTTATGTAGCTTTTTTGGGGTCATATTTTCATTATATTGATAATTGACATTCTTCTTGCTGCATCAAGGTTGTCCGCTGGGGAAGATCTGTCTATGCAAATATTCAAAAGTTTATACAGTTCCAACTCACAGTTAATGTTGCAGCTCTTATCATTAATGTTGTAGCTGCAGTTTCCTCTGGAAGTGTGCCTTTAAATGCAGTGCAGGTTGGTTATCACAATGCCATCTACCACTACCAGTTGATGGTTTTATTTTCCTTTCTTTTCTTCCCTTATCTTTTGTATCTCTTTACAGCTTCTTTGGGTTAACCTCATCATGGATACTCTTGGAGCCCTTGCTTTGGCTACTGAACCACCAACGGATCACCTTATGCAAAGAAAACCAGTGGGCCGAAGGTTTGGTTCCTGAATATGTTGGAAGAAGAAATAATATGCTTTAGTGATACTATAAAGAATTTCTCTACTATTTTATCTAGACATAATTACGGTGCTGTTGTTTTCCACCTTAGAATTTTTGTTTAATTGTTTTTCACCCTATAATCTTATGCAAAGAAAACCAGTGCTGTATATACTGTTTTCAGTATACTGGAAACAGTTGAAAATTACACTTAATAATTCAGATAATGCAAGAAAAGAACAAAAGAGAGAAAGAGAAATAAGAAGAAAGAAGTTTCAGCAATAGGTTGTGGAAGAAGAAAAGAAGGGAAGAGAGAAAAGAAGAATTTGAATCTCTCTATCTAGCCCCCTTAATGGAGCGGCCAACACTAAAGAAATAATTAAAGAAAATAAAAGAAGGTCCATAAGGCCCATAACTAAGAAACATCACTCAATCATAGTTGTCAAGGCGATGCCTAGGCAACAAGGCACCCTTGCAGGCTTGCCTCGCCCATTCACCAAGCAGTTTTTCATATTGTGTAATAAAATACTTTTATATTGTTATTTTTTTGAGATCATAATTATAAAATAGACATTATTAAAGAAAAACAAGTAAGGGAAGAACTTAAAATTTTGTCTAATCAACATATTTTTTCTTCCACATCTTTTTTTTTTGATGAGTTCTTCCACATCTTCTTCTTCTTCTTCCACCTTTTCTTTTCTTCTTTTCCTATAACAAAAATAGGGGTTCAGCCCCTATATTTTTTGAATTTTCTTTCCTTTCTTCTTTTTCTTCTCACAAATAAGTTGATTTTCTAGACTTAAACATGAAGTTTATAATTTTCTTATGAAAATTATGGATAGTTATTAAAGAAAGTTGGTTATGGAACCTAAGGAACTACCCTAGGATATGTGATTTTTACTTAAAAAAATCCATGGCCTAGGCGCCCCTCTGTCACCTAGCCTTGTCTTAGCGCCTTGAAAACTACGCTTTTAATTACTAATTAAAAGAAATAAAGAACACTAAGGCCCATTCGGCCCATTCTCACTACACTCCCCCTCAAGCTGAGCATAGATGTCAATCATGCCTAGCTTCCTTAGATGATTTGAAGCTTTGCCTTTGGGACTCCCTTAGTTAGAAAATCTTGTAGCTGCTCTTTTGATGCAATGAAATGTATGCACACCACTCCTAAAGCCACTCTTTCCCATATAAAGTGTTTGTCTACCTCCATCTGCTTAGTTCTATCATGCTGAATTGAGTTGTGAGCAATGTTAATAGCAGCTTGGTTATAAAAATACAACATCAGTTGCTCATCACATGAAACACCCATCTCATTTAGGAGAGATTTAAGCCATAACAACTCAGAAACACCATGGGCCATAGCTCTATACTCTACCTCAGCTGAAGATCTAGTAACCACTGATTGCTTTTTGCTTCTCTAGGAAACAATATTTCCATCTACCATCGCACAATATCCTGATGTGGATCTCTTATTATCCACATTTCTTGCCCAATCAACATCTGTATTTGCTTCTACCTTCATGTGTCCATGTTTAGCAAATAATATACCATTTCTAGGGGTTCCCTTAAGGTAGCATAACACCCTTTCTGCAGCAGCCATATGTGTCTCTGGGAGCATGCATGAACTGGCTGATGACACTCACAACATATGAACTATCTGCACGAGTCATACATAGATAAAGAAGTTTCCTAGTAATCTCTGAAACACTCCCCTGTCAGTTAAAAGTTCTCCATCATTAGCTGAGAGTTTATGGTTCACATCAATAGTGGTAGAGGCAGGTTTAGCACCAAGTTTTCTAGTCTCGGTAAGAAGGTCTAGGATATACGTCCTGTTGGGACACAAACTAAAGAAATACAAGTGTACAAGAGAAGTGGAGAGGCTGGTACAACAGAATTGTAACAGCTGTATAACAGCTGTGTATAACTAACAGCCAACCACTAGATCAAAGATTGTAACAAACTAGACAAGTGGACTGACAAGTGGAAAGGCTGGTACAACAGAACTGTAACAACTGTATAACAACAGTGTATAAATAACAACAGGCTATAATCGAATGGGATTATTGAATTGGGAATACAACCTCTCTTCCTTTCTCTCTCTCCTCTCTCTCTCTCTCTCTCATTCTGGAGGCAGGCTCCCTCGAAAGAGTCCCTGAGTTAGGCAGTTCATAACAAGTTGGTATCAGAGCCAATTCAGAGCCAAGATGCCAAGCACAAGATCATCAGCAATGGAGAACAAAGTCGATTACATGGAGGGAGAAATGCAAAGAATATCAGCCGATGCCAAAGAAATCAAAGAAAGCTTTGCATCCTTGCTGGAAAGATTGGCACAGGCACCACCTACGCAAATTCAGGAAGAATGCAGTGACACCAGTCATCGAAGTGGATCAAGAACTGCAAGAATCGAGTTTCCCATCTTCACAGGAGGAGATCCCACTTCCTGGCTTCTGTGAACAGAAAGATACTTCGATTACCACGACACACAAGGCCCTGGTCGTGTTCCACTAGCCTCTGCACACCTGGAAGGAGAGGCGATCGTCTGGTACCAATGGTATCCGCGACGACTGAAAGAATGGTAGGATCCATCTAATGGACGCCATAAAGGTTGCGGAAGTGGGGCAAATTTCAAAAATTTCCAACCTTCTCCCAACTGGGAGTCATATTCCCTAGATTTAGAATACAATATTCAAGGATCCTACTTGAACCATAATCAAACCAGATCTGAACCAAAAGATAAATGGGAGGAATATACCTGATCCGGAGAAGCAGTATCTCCCAAAGTTGGTGTTCACGCCCAAAGAATGCACCAAGATCCGTTCCTGCTGAAGATGACACAGATGTGGATGGAACAGAACCAACAGGGTGCGTCCTACACACTGGATCCTTCGCAAGAACCCTTTGGAAGCACTAAACACTGAGTCTTTTTCAGTCTTTCTTGCAAGACTGATGTCAAGAACCGATTTCTTGACTTCCTATTTCTGCAAAGATCGAATCTTGCAAAGGTAGATGGCGGCGGCATGAGGAGATCTCCAAGGGCGAAAAGGCTGAACTGCTTTTCTTCTCTCTGGAGTATGAATGAGAGCTAATCTCAATTCGCAGGGAGATTTCTTTTCTTTTCACCAAAACCCTAATTCGAATTCTGATGTATTTCCTCTTGTTTTTCTCCTCTTTTCTTCTTGATTAAGAAATCTCCTAATTAGGAGTTATCCCAATCCAAATCTGTATTTGGATAGGGGATTATCTTTATCCTATCTGCAGATTAAGTTAGTTTACTCCTGATCTTATCAGGAGGTTACCAGATTCAAATCTAATATGAATTTGGTCTCCTGGAGTGGATAAGGTTAAAGGCCCAATCCTTTTACTAACATTAATCTCAGATTCGC